AGAGTGTGATTGCGGAGCTCCGATAGGGAATGTCAGACATATCCTCCGTTCTGCTCACTCCTAGAGCAATCTTAGAAACGGGTCAAGGGAGGTGCTCCCTATCATTTGTATAAAATGGTTGTCTATTTGAAGCATCGCGAGGCCTTCAATCGACTGTTCTTGGCCTTTATGCAGCATCTAGATGCTCGCAGGGATCGTCTGTAGATACATCATATCGTCAGGATATGTCGCAGCTGTAATTATTTTACGTATCGTTTACTGTAATTGTTCACTTGCCTGGTGCTGATTAAGAAGAGGGAAAAGGGAAAAACCGATCAATAATTGGAAGACTCGTGCCGTTCTCAAGACTCGCCAGGGACGAAAGCCACGAGGGAGGAAGGCTCAAGAGCCGATGTCTACGGCCGCAGCCTTAGAGAAGAAGAACGTGATTGTTGTATCATGTATGGCTCGTTATTGGGGGCCGTTTCAATTGAAGAATTACCGTCTTGACCTTGTGAACAGATAGTGCCTCTTCGCTGTTGGTAGTCGAAGTTGTTGATGCCATGTGACTATTAGTCACCGACTAACGAGTACTCTCTAAGTCGTGAAGACCTCTCTTGCCTTTCCTGATATATGGTCCCCACTAACTGCTCAACAATAGGGATGCGATGAACAGCTCAATAGAGTAGCATGGCTATGCACAACATTATGCGAGGAATGGCAAGGATCACTTCAATCCGTGCCGATTTGCTCCTCGATCTCTTGAATCCTCCGTTGCAATCCCAAAATCTGCTGCTGTAATGAAGTCTTCTCTCCCTGAAGACGTAAATATGTCCGCGGAGTCGATCATCAGTATCACTTTCAGTGTAGTAATTTGCTGTTGCAATCTCGAATTTTCAGCTTTCTGTTGGCCGAAGTGCCTCTTGACCTCATCCTGATAGAAATATACTGTCATACTCGCTGTACAGCATAGCAGAACACCTGTATCTTCTGCACATCACCCACGATATTCTTTTCCATGTCCTGTAGTTGACCTTGATGGTGTTGCTCCAAGCTCCCCTGGATCACATTTCACTATCAGGTTGATTCGTGTGCTCCTCACCTTTTCGTTACGAAGAGCTTCTATCTCTTGCCTCTGAGCAGCAAGCTCTTCGTTTTGCATGGCGATGTAGGACTCTAACGATGCTAGTTTGCCCTAACGATTCACAATGATCGAGGTTTCTCTCGACTACACGCACCTTCAACCCAGACGGGGCAAATGAGGAGAAAGCATCTCGGGACGTTTTCCGAAATCGATCACTTTCACTCTTACCTAAAAACTCGTATGTCACAGATAAGACACTTCACCACTACTCTTTCGCAGCCTTTGTGATATGCCATTAGTAAAATCAGTGGACATTCTACAAGGCAGAGCTATCAAACCACAGATTTAACCATAAACAAGTTTAATGATCAATTGCTGCATCAGTCCTATCGATCCAGTTAAGTTTTTCTCATTCATTGAGAATCAGGAGAAGCCTCTGAGTTTTCATCATTCAGTAACAGCTTAACATCATCGAACTATACGTTGCAGATAGAGCACGCTAGTGACAACACACTCGGTGCCCTCGGTAGCAACCGTTTCTATGCCAGTCAGATGCTAAGCCTTCAAAGAATATCCCCTAGAGAGGACATCTATGGAGAAGGAATGCTGGAATGAACAAAGGTCTGTACGGAAAGACTTGAACACACTACGGCTGACGCAGTGCGTCGGAGCCGGACAACACGTTCCGAGTCTATATTGCACTTGTGACAAGAAACGCAATCAACGCAAGTCACGTAGGACGAGCGGATCGTCGAAGTGTGCCTATCCATTTGTGAAAGAAGGTCAATGTGTAACGCAATACGAAGTTGTTGACAGCTATGCTCAAATCGATTAGCTGTTGCGACACACATATCGATTGGAATGGCGAGCGCGGCTCATCAGCGCAGGATATAGTGAATGAAATTCTGGAAGGTTACCGTTCATCTAGATCCAAGTGATGGGTAACTGCTGTCCTGGTGGGAGATCTAAAGACGCCGATGAGGACGGTGATAAGGCAGAGGACCGATACAAAACGGAGCCTAACTGTAACTTGTGGGAAAATACTTATAGTCCAACGGCCATATAACTTCTGCGTCCTGCTGGTCACCTTTGATCATCTTTTTCTGCACATGAGTGAAATGAGATTACGCCTGCATTCTGGTCTGCTTCACAAGCTTCTCTTTTTATCTCAGCACACGAGCAAGATGGGTTCTCGAGTTCAAGCTCAAGTATATCCTATGGCTCCGTGTCTCAGAGTGAACCTCAACAGCAGCGAATGAGCGGAGCGTATGGAGAAATAATCGCTGACGAGAAAACAGAAATCCCCGGTGAGGAAAAGCCAAGGAGCGAGGCTCAACCGCGCCGGACGAGCGCATTCAACAGAAGGCTCACTACACAACTGATCATCCGTGATCTCAACCAGGCTGTCGCAGCGGATTTGGAGAAGAGGTTGAATGAATTGAACCAGTCTTGGCAATCAGCAGACCTTCACGAGGCGGATCGAGAGGAAGATATTTCTTATGAGACAGGTGGAAGGTTCGAAGTAGAGCGTCACAGCGAGCTTACAACGCCCTACCATTTGAATCGTGCGAGTAGCGTATTGGCGCCACCACGAATATTAGTCCGAGCTCCTACAAAGAAAGCACTCCGAGAAAGCTTCGGGATCTCATCTGGCCTGGATGTACACCATCACGACTTCTACCGCACACCGACCTTCGCTGATGCCCTGCCTAGGAGGGACACACGCGACGAAGTGATCTATCAATTCGCTCCACACGTTCACACCCCGAGGTCGGTGTTGATCTACGACGCAGCTCGAAAGAGCTCGAGAACGCTGCGCCCAATAATGGTCAGGTCTGGGACAGCGAATGAACTGGGGCTCTACCTCGGTAAATATGATGATGAAACTGGACACTACTGTGACGATCTATAACTTGTATCCAGATCCATACTGCTGTTGGATGGTTCTATCGGTGTCAGTTTGACTCAGATGATCGTACAATGCATGATGCAGTTGTTGTGATTGACTTGAAAACCAGGTGTTAAAATATAAGCACTAATATTGATTGTCTTGTGTATAGTGACTATTGAGATGACCCGAAGAACCCGCAGCCTCAGAGATCTTGAATGCTATCATGTACGATCTATGATAGCAACGGTATAGTAACACAATTTTCGCTGGGGCTACTAGCATCCGGGATTGCAGCACGAACAGTGTATGAGCAAAATCACTGATTGATCCAATGAGATACGATACAGTTCTGTTTACTGACTTTTGAAGATGAGATCATGGTTCGAGGGTCTGTCATCGATTTAATCAACGATCCCACCACAGCAACTGGAAAGGAGTCTGCATTTAAAGCCTATTTCTTCGAGGCCCTTCGGAACATGTCCTTAATCTTCACCTACGGATGATGCTATCGATAAATCTAACATCCTGATGAAACCGAAGACTGTCTCGTAGATGAGCCGCTTCCCCTTTGTTTTGGGATGCGTATCTCCGTTGCTACTTGCTTGGCCAGCGTCTGTCGTCCCCATCGTTACTAGTCTCCAAGTCGAGTCTAAGCTGATGAGACTGAAGTCGAAGTGTTGCGATGATCTGCATGAGAAATATTGTTCCGTATATATCTGTGGCCTTCTTGTTCAAGATCTCAGTTGGGCTTGTGTGTTCCTCAATTAGGATCAAACAAACACAGAAGAAAATATCCTCTCTCCGAGGTTGTATCGGAATTGACCCCGACTGCACAGAGAGATGCACGAGCGCAAAGACATCAACAGAGATGAGCCTTCCAGGTGCTCTATGAAATTCGGCAAATTGCCTTCTACATCGTATGGCAGGCATCATAATCAACCCGTCCCAGCACACGCGAGCCGGTCGAGTAACTCTAAAGCGCTGCACAGTTTTGATGATTCCGAGATAACAGGGGGACCTGAATTCCCACAGGAACCCGCAGAGCAAGTACAAAGCATCTGCAGCAGTGCCTGTATATGTTACCCGTACAAAGCCCGAAATAACCCACTGGTGGCAAAAAAGTTACTTGCAAGTGAAGACTTGGTGATGCAATATCGTCCTCATGTTGGCGATGCATGAGTACGGATGAATGACTCAGTCTCAGTGTCCTGAAGATATTGCTATTCAAATCAGTACGATGAGTTCTCGCATATGATGACTAGTGTGAACACAAAACATGAGATACAGAATGTAGGATGATATATGTTACAAAATCAGCAGGGTATCGATCTACAGCTGTACTGCCACGCGAGCCGATAATTCGATAACGGCGGTCAGTGACGATGAGCTCTATTATTAGTAGATGCAACAACAGTGTATCAATATTACTGCTCTTCTCATTGCAAGCTGGCAACACCCAAAGGCTTCACAGATCAGCCTGCCTTTCATCTTCTCATAAACACCGTAGTGTGCGAAGAACTCAAGCGGAAAACAGAGACGAGGCCAAATAGTGACACTGCGAGCTGCCTCGCTGTATAGTCACCTCTAAACTGGCCGAAGAACTACAGTCGAGACACGCTTCTGATGATAGGAAACAGAGGACGATGGACTGAAAGTCGAATAAGGAGTCCAGAGCACGACAGTGTTAACTTTAAAAGCGGCAGTTTACCACACCCATAGATTAACCTATGGCTTAGTTTTAGAGATGATACGAAGCAACTCACCATGCATACAAAGACCGTCTTATATTATCTAATGTAGTAGCACATGATGAGACAGATAGCTCACCAGGCAGAGGTGAGGTCACTGCTCATCAGGTGAGGAAACAGATGCAAAGAAAAGAAACCCTGAGGGGTGTGGTCATGGCTTTGACGATAATCATGATAGGAATGATGACCATGACCACGACCATCGACGTGCTTGTTGTTGGTGAAAGATCATCATTCACAACCTACATTACAGTATTAATGCTACTTAGTGTACTTGAACAACTTGATGATGATGATGCCGTAGTCACCCCGGACTTAGGCGTGTATGGTGGCAGACGTTTCGACCGTAGAAGCATAACCATACCAAGGTTGAGTGCTGGGAGTCTGCGTTGATTCCACCGCAAGAGTAATGGTCGGATCTTCAGAAGACGAGTACATTGACGACGATGAAATTGTTGTCGAGTTCTCTCCAAAGAACAAGTCGCCGCAATATGCTGCCACAATAGCTATAACAAAAAGAGCCGTTGGGCTCGCCATCTGCACACCCTGTACATCTACCGAACCAGCATGAGAAGACGCATGCCCAGACTCGAACGAATACAACAAAGGTGTAGATGAAGCCTCGACAGCTTCTGGAGGGACGTAGTGAATGATGCTGCTAGTTGCTGTTGTTCCCAACCAACCAGATGCGCAAGTAATAGCACCGAAAAAAATCGTCAGTTTCACCAACACCGATAGACTCGACATTACGAACATGTACTAAAACATTAGTAAGGAACTTCAGCCTATTCCAACCCAACTCAAAACATGTTCCCATCAGATGAAAATTTCCATGGACCAATTTGGAGTTATGAAAATGATACCAAGTGATAAGCAGCATTTCCGTTCGATCATCCGAGAGCGACTTCCCCCGACACTTTGGGAGGCTCCGTAACGACGATACACACAAGTTGAGTAGAATGATATCCAAACGAGGTCGCGCCGGTGGGAAAGACGATCTGAGGGCTTCCATGCCGGAATGTATATCCTAATGAACCTACTTGAAATGTGGATGAGGAAACGTCACGAGAGAATCAGCTGTTTACGGCTGGCATGAGATCGTATGACGTCGTCTCCTATCATTTACCTTTCTGGTTCATCGGCTTGAGCTTTCCCCGATTTGCAACTTATCGTCGCGGTTGGGGGCACTGTCTGTGAGCGACAAACACAGAACGGTCATCAGCCAGGGGGTCCAGTGATGGCTTCGCCTCGATTTCGCAGGGGTTGTCGATGCTTGACTCGGAAGTAACCTGACGATCGATTCAACGGCGACCAAACGAACCCTCGGGAAGCTCTAGGACGCAACTCTGCGCACAGGGGAAGTCATGGTGACACCGTCGCAACAGTTGGGCGTCTCGACGACTATGTGGTCAGTTCGATTCACCCAATGCGCAGCAGCTTTCAGAAGTCCAAAAAGTCAGTTAAACTCACTAGAGCGAGGGGCTCTCGGCTAAGTTTAGTCGATCGGGTTGTAGTAAAGCTAAGAAGGCCGATAAGGAAGCATCTAGCCTCGCGAGACAGGGGGGCGCATTCTGAGACAATACAGTTTCAAACTTTTACTCGTCGTCCTCAACAAAGTCGAGAACACTACGCTAGACTGATGCGATCGATGTCTACAGGCGCGTCTCTAGGGCACTGGGAATAGCGTAGAACAGGGGTTTCAAAACAAATATGCGCAAAAGGAAACTTGTAGACGAGTAAAAGCAAGAGAGCAAGATTAGGTAAGTCATCGCACATCACTTTACCAAATCGATCGAGTGATCGATATCACTGAGTGGGCCTCGCGCGAGCCCGATCTCAAACCTCCTCAAGAAACCTTGCTGGTAATAATAACTTCTGACCATCTGCATAGCTGACACTTTACCGTTGTTGCTGCACCCTGTGGATGACACTATTACGAGTTGTTCTCTTTCAGGAAGCACCCCTGAAGAATCGTAATTATGGTGTCCAAGAAGCAGGTACGTCGCCACCACCAACGGTGTGGTTTCAACTACTGCAATATTATCCTTTCCCCTTTTCAGACTAAGGCTCATGAGTCCGTTAACGCCGGCTTGCAGCTTGTTCTCAAATCTGGCAAGTACACTATTGGTTGGAGGTCTACTATGAAGGTGCGACGATCTACAGTGTTCAATCAATTTCCCTTTACTCGTGTTTTTCTCCATAGGCGATCCGTTCCGGTAGCGCCAAGCTAGTCCTCGTCTCGAACAACTGCCCTGCTCTTCGTCGTTCCGAGATCGAGTACTACGCCATGCTCTCGAAGACTGGTGTCCATCACTACGTCGGTGACAACAACGCCCTCGGTACCGCCTGCCGTAGGTTCTACCGCGTTTCCTGCATGGCCGTCCTCGATGCTGGTGACTCTGATATTCTCACCGCTCTGGAGTAAAGGAGGCCTCGAGGGATGCCACTCTTAGCGGAGTTTCTTCGGGATTACCCTTACACGGTTTTGTGCACAGTTTGTTGTCAATTTCATCTCTAGGATGCATATCGTGACAATCCTCGAGATTGTATATGCGATTCCCGCTGATATGGGCTACTCTCGATTCTATATCAATCGCCGTTCTCACTGAGAACGTGAAAGGGTCGGCTTCGTCGTATAACAAATTCGCTTCCTACGTCCCCGCCGAGCAGAGGTACCCGGAAGCAACGAGTGATGGAGTAAGTAGGGCGATAAGACAGTGTAAGAGACGCTCCTTGTCAGCTGCCTATCAAAGTGCCTCTGTCGAGACAAGTTTCCCATGCGGGTTCACTCTGTTACGGTAATCACTCCATGGATATTTCTGGCCAGACTTCTATCGCGCTCTCGGAATTCAAAGTACGGCTCTGCTGGCTCTATAGAATCGGAATTCGTCCGATTCAGGTCGTCTACAAGAAGCCGGATCCTCTCAGCTCTAATGGGGTAGTGTACATCGTAATTGTGTCTAGTGAAGTTTGTGATATTATAGGCGAATTCGATTCAAGTCAACTCTGTTGGTGGTCGGATAGAAACTACAGCAGTTGTTACCGACCTTGAGGAAGGTCGATAGGCGTTCGGTACCAAACCTTACTACAGGTTTCCCGTGGTAGATCCTAGGAAGCTGTCCTATGTGCTGGAGCCTTTGATTGACGTTGCGAATACGCAGTATTTCGGCCCTATCCAGATCGGGACACCTCCGCAAACTGCAACGGTCATTTTCGATACCGGAAGTGCCGATATGTGGGTACCAAACTCGAGGTGGGGTTCGAATGCTCGTTTTTTGGAGAGCTCACCGGTGACCAGATTCCATCCAGCGAATTCTACTACATTCGTGCAGAGTGCAAGTAACAGCTTTCGACGGCTGACCTATGGTGTGGGTTCTGTGCAAGGTCGTATCGGTAGCATAATCGCGATAACATTATTTTCGACTGATTCACGTTGCCCAGGGTCGGATCGTGTATGTTTTGGAGCTGTCAAGAACGATCCCAGTAGTGACATGGTGTCACCCCCTCCAAGGAATCTGCCCCTTTGCATTCCGCATCAGAATCTGTATGGCGAGCGCGTGTGAGTAGCTGGACTGTGGCCTCCCTCAGGGTAGTCTCGGAGACTAGTAAAGATCTCGAAGGAGGTTTATACGATGGCGTAATGGGGTAGTACTGCGGCCCGCTCTCACTCCATCCACCAACTTCTCGGTGCCAGGTTAGGTTTCTCTGCTCTGAGTACTACTGGGACGACGGCTCTGGAAAATATCATCAGTCGCCTCGCAGAACCAGTAAATACATCAGGGCACTGAGGGCTCACTGTCCCACCAGGTCCTAGCGTTTTCCTTGATTGAGGATCCTATCGCTGCGGCGACGATGGGCAGTTCGATCACTTTCGGCGGCTTGGATGGAGCCATGTGTGTAGCAGCAGGGTGGCACGGTTGGCAGCATATCGTCAACAGGTATCGTCCTGATACTCTCACGTGGACCCCTCTGGTTGGCCATGTTTATTGGGCTATGGAGACGGTGTTGGAAGTACTAGAAGAAAAACCACACGAGAAAGGTAGCGGCCGAAAATTACGGACTCGAAAAATAGAGAAACGATGAAGATGGAGGCTTTTGTCGAACCTGCGTAGATGGACTTGCCGGGGACGCCGCTGGTGCTGTGAGTGAGGATGGAAAGAATGATGCTAACGATGATATTGGGGCATTTCCAAGGCAGTTGTTCATCCAGAGACAGGTGACGCCCCTCCCTCCATAGGTGTCGGTCATGTGCATTGGTTCTGCAGGCAGTAGTGCTGGATTCGGGCACGTCGTATCTGCTGGTGCCAAGGCCTGACTTTGTGAAATTCCTGTCGGCGCTGCTTCCCTCTGATAAACTGGCTGAATGCTCAGCTCTGAAGCCTAGCAACCTACTGGTACTGTGACCTCGGATGCTACCGAGGACACCACGTCTCAGATATGCCCATGTCAGCTGCAGAGGTATGCGCGGAAGATCAATGTACGTGTTGTGTGTATTATCATCGATTATCACTGACCTCGAACACAGGTTTTGGTCGCTAACAGGCAGTTTCCGATATTCCCGGCTGATTACTTCACCGGACCGGCATTGTCTGGTGGGCAATGTGTCCTGGAGGTGTGTTGTTATGTTTCTAGCACATGCATGATGATTGGTGATGCTAGGTTCAGATGGGCCACGACACGTCTCCATGGGTTTTTGGTGACACGTTTATGAAGAAGTTCTACACTGTATTCGATGTTGGCCACTCTCGCATAGGGTGAGATGGAGTCTATTGGAAACATCAAACCAGTACCTCACAGTTTGGCCGACCGTCTGCATGTTCCGGAGCACTCAGCCTCACGTATGGTCGTCAACTCGCCTCTTTTACCACAGGAGCAAGACGCTCACGATTTCCGCGAGACCGAACTCGGAGCCCTTGTGGCAGTAGCCCTGGTAGGAACTGTTAGTCAATAGTCTGCTAGTTACCTTCCGAGTCGCTCAGGTAACGCTACTGTGTTTTATGGCGGCCACTTCTACGTCGGTGAGAAGGGCTTTGTCCTGGATGTATCGCCAAGAGCCCTCCCCGGCCCGGCGTGGACCAACTGCTGGGTGCTGCTGGCCTTTTTCTACTCCCAAGCGACGATCGGATTCGAGGCGGGGCCGTATGCAGGGAAGTGCCCCACTCAGGTGCCGCATTTCGGAGCCTCTCAGGCGATAGGGATCTTTGAAAGGTTCCATCCGGAGTCCTATGATGTCGCTCGAATGCCGAACCTGACGACCCCACTTATCACTCGGGAACAGCATCGTGCTCATCGTGGTGGATACCGCGCGCCCCATAGGGGTAATGCTATGCGTCGCAGCTCGACTGTTATTTGATCATGTTTTAGGGGAGCCGGCTCGTCCTCCTCCTCCTACTACTACCACATTGCCTCCTGCTACTACGTACTACTTCTACTATCAAGTCTAGCGACATTGATTTATCTCATCGTCGAAGCGAGTATTCGATAGTTTTATGTTTTCTCCCTCATTCGTGCACAACTGCTCTCATTGTGTGTACTCGGCCTCATGATTGACTTATTGTTGATCGAATCGCTCGGAAACTGTACTATTAACGATCTCTCGAGACGCTTATGACATGTCGCATGAGCCGCCTTTCAGTGATAGTTTCAGATCTTGTAATATCTTTGTCTTGGAGCTGTGGCGCGTGGTCGAGACATTTCTTCTCATTAGCTTTTAGCATACTTGACTTGTGCTATGTGCTGGAAGTGCGTCCGCTACTACTACCAAAATAAGACTGAAATAAGCACACAATCGCTCCGCCAAAGTGAGCGATTACCGTCCCATCAGTCATCTTTCTATAGTCGGTCTGTTGAGCTGGATCGACTCCAATAGTTTCCGTTGTACTCTCTCTTGCTGCTAGAAGTGTAGGGCTGATTTTTCTCTGGAAATGATCCCCACACTGTTGGCTCATCCTGTGACTCACAGATTCATGCTTGAGGGCTAAGCTGAGTCGTATCAATCTGTGCCCTGTGACACATATATGAGACTCCACATCCCTTCTCATAGTTACCGATGCAGATATATCGCTATTGGGCGTGAAGTCCTACATAACGCTCTTTACGTTGTTCTGGCAAATCCTCGCATTCGGTCACATTATCATAAAACTCATATTCTAATCACAGGTTGTGCGGAATCTTGTTTTTTGGTAGCGTTTTACGTGGAGTACGCGAGCTGATCGATATTAGTAGAGCAGAAGCGCTCCGGCATGAGGGAGACTTCGGGGATCTATTCCTTTGGTAGCATATCGATGTGATTGGACTTTGATAGCAAGTTGAAAACACTTTCTGGTGACGAACTCATCATCAAGCGCAGATGTAAGTGTTGGGTTTCTCGCCACGGGTGAATGGTTTGACCAAGAGGACGTAACAGAATGGAAAGTTCCCGCTAGAGACAGCTTGAGAGCTTTGTGCTGAATTTGCGCTTGCGTGCACGATTATTGTGTGCCGCTCCACTAGTTGTTGTCCCTTATTTTCAGCGACGTTTACTTCGCTTTTGGTTTGTATCGATTGTGATTATGCCAAACTACATGCCTGATTCTATTAATAGTACTGTTGAGAGTGCCACTCTGAAGACTCAGAAGATGGTTGATGATTTCAAGAAGACGGACACTGGGAAGAAAGTAAGCCGCTCAACTAGTGCGGCTTTGGGAAGTGTCTACTCTTTCGTCGACTCTCTCTTGAGTAGAGGTGAGGAGTTGGTTGATCGTTTACTCCCTGAGCCTCAGTCATCTGCTGAAGTCTCTACTGCAAGTCCTCATAGCTCACATGATGCTGATGGGGTGAGCTCTTTCAGTCGGGCTCTATCTTTGGGCTCGACCGTCTGCTCTCGAGTTCATGCTCGTGCTACTAAAAAGGTCTATGCGTTTGGTAGCAATGTGAGTGTGTCTTACGAGAAGGCTTATGCTAACGTGGTGGATTATTTCGAGACTTACTTGAGGTCTTTCCAAACTATCTTATCCTATGTGAAAGACACTTTTCCCGCGCTGCAGATTGCTGAAGAGGATTTTCTAGCTATTCGCAACAAGGCCACTGAGTGGTGGGCTGCTTTTGTTGAGCGTGTCCAGAAGGTTTTTTATGAGAATAAAGAGGCCGCTCAGACCTCTATGAAAAAAGGCGAAGATGCGGTTCATCAGTACACTACGCAGGCCAAGGAGACTGCTGCTAAGTACTCTGCTGATGTGAAGGAAAGAGCCACCAAGGCTAGAGAGACTGCGACCATGTATGCCACTGACGCTAAGGACACTGCTAGCAAGTACGTGGCTGGTGCTAGGGAGGCCGCTGAGAAGTACGCTGCTGATGCTAAGGATACTGCCAGCAAGTATGCTGTTGATGCTAAGGAGACTGCTGGTAAATACGCCGCTGACGCCAAGGCGACTGCCGACAAATACTATCAAACTGCTACTGATAAGGTGAATGCTACTAGTAAGTGAATGTCGCAGGTTTCATCATAAAACAAATATTATTTTGGTGGGGTTCGTGGAACCCACCTGATTTGTAGCAGCCACTCGTGCTGCACGGTACGGTTGAGTCTCATGAGTGGACTTACGTTACCTATATCGTCAGTTATATTTTCTCGTAGCGTTTTGGGTGTTGTGCTAGTCCCGGACGATAACAGGGTAGACTATCATCTGGATTATTGAATCTTATGGATAGTCTTGAGTTATCAGGGAGGACAGAAGGTTTTAGTAAGGGGAAACAGGCGATACAGTGTATGGTAGAAATCCATCATAAACCAGTATTATCAATAGCCTGATTTATCTATTCACCCACTATGCACTGTGGTGGTCGATTGTTTGCTGAGGCTTATCGATGACATTATCGTCGCTTAGTAATTCGTTCAAGTCAAATGAGAAAAGGTCATGTTTCTGTAGCCTCAGTTGGATTGGGCAAGGTCCGGCAGAGAAGACTATATCAGACTGTATTGTCGGTTTGTTGACTATATCTCGATGATGTTCTCACTTGACCTGAGGTCACTGAATTTCGTACTGTGCAACCCAAAACCAATAGTATATCCGAGAAGTACTAAGCGGAAACCTTCCTCTCCACAACATTCGGCTGCTGCTAGTAGTATTATCCGGACCGTCTGTTCAAGTCGGATTAGCGGTTTCTCTAGGATGGTTGTATTAATAAGCCCGACAGTTTGACCTCCCTGTCCCCCCACGTTCTGGTCTTAGTATGGCAGAACTACGATGGGGCCAAGTTCAGTGACTACTTAACACATGCAGAAAATATCAACTTAGAAACAAATACGTAACACCAGAAAAGCATGGTAGACGTCACCGATGGCCTCGATTACTCCTCCTGTGAGGATTTCGCTTCCTATTAAAAGACTGCGTTCGCCGATACAGCGAGTCTTCCATTCTCAGTCTAGTGAGTTCCTCCTCGCGAGCTGCCCAGAACTGATCCGAGGGTCGGTAATTGGGCTCAGCCGCTGCCTGAAGTAGCCTGTCGAATCGCCAGGCCGACTTCTAGCTCACCTCAGCTACGTTTCCCTCAGGGACGTCTCCACCCGTCTTCTCTATGTTACTGGAAGCTTCGGGCATCCTCGAGGCGCTCTTGGTCCCCAAGTACTCATTATCCCCTAACATGACCAAATCTACAGTAGGCTCCTGCGCCTTGTCTTGCCTCCCTACCATCATCAACTGCACCGCTAGCATCGTCCTCGGGTACTCGAATCCCATCGTAGCCGTAAGCTGCCTTCAGTGCAGCCTCTCGAAGGGCCTCACCAGCATCCTCTCCTTCCCCATGCTCAATACCCGTAGTTGTCCATTGTCCTGACAGGACTCTCCTCTCCATATCCTGTTGGAAGAGCCTTATACGACGACGCTTCGAGAGCATAGATATTTGCCAGAACATCCTCATAATCTGACACAAGTGGCAGATCGAAGCACCCCCTCGTGGATGGGTTTCCTGGCACGCCTATTCCCTTGAAAATGGGATGAGTTAACGAACAAGTCGAGAAAGGCCTATCACCGGCAGACCGTCGTGATAGCATTTCTCTCTGCCCAGTGTTGGAGGAATATTGGTTGCTTTCCTCAGCTGAGCTCAGGTGTTTCTCCAGTCATTCGAGGAGTTTATACACGAATTCAGGTAGAAGTTTCCAAAAACCAACGAGACTTTCCGCCATATTGTCACCAACACATGTAGTTGACTATGTGCTTGTTTGTCCAACACTGCCTCCGCCCGGTTCCACCTGTCTGATGTTCCCAGTATTCGGCCGAGCATCAAAGGCCTCTAGTTCCCGCAGTGATAGTAGGAAGTCCTCATGGAACTTCACCACAGTAGGATGGACGAACCCGCACTGCTTCATCTCCTCCAAAACCGAATGGGCCATATCCAAGCCTAGCGAAAAACGTCACTGCGCCACGAAATTCGAAACACCAACCTACCCGGATGCTTAGGGCACATGATGTACCCAAACATCATGAGAGAAAAGGTAACCTCATCGGCCGGGATGTCGTGCTGCTGGAAATGGTCCATCGCGGCTTGCCATCGATGCCAGTCCTTCTTGCGGCAGTACAATGCCAACAGCTTATGAGCCTTGCTCCTGGCCTTCACCACTTTCACACCCTCAGATGGCAGATATCTGGAAAATATGAAATTCGTTGGAGTTAGAAAGGGCGTCACGGGTGACCGATTTTTGTGATATAGTGTCCAAAATGGACAGAGAAAACCGAAATGACTAAACGATAGGGAATTTTGCGTAGATTCAGAATCTGTTATCATTTCTGTTTTATTACCGAGTATGATAGCCTAAAAATCGATTATGCGTTTTTCGCGTTTCGCGCGCGCCCGTGGAAGAGTTTGGCCGGACAGATGTATAGATGTCACGATCTCATATGGCAAGCTCAGCAGCTTGAGCATGTTCATCTGCCACCGATGAAAACGGTCAATCATTCCAAACATCTAGTGCAACACTCAATCTTCCCGAGCTGGCGCTAGCTGCACAAAAGTGGAACAGAATGACGCACGCATGTCGTCGAGCTTATGCTTAACAGGACAGCCATGTAGAATTGCATCACCAACGGATCTGCGCTAGAAAGGATGCAAAAAGTCCCCGTGAAGGACTGCACTATCATAACTTGTGATTCCTAAGTATCGACCTCAAAATATTGCTCGTACAGATCGAGGTCGTTCGTCGATCGGTTATCCCGGATAACTTATCCGACAGTCATCTTACGAAGCCCGAACTTGACCATGTCTAACTCCAAGAAGAACCTGACTATACCAGCAGAAGTTGCTGCTACCGCTGATGGAGACCATCTACGGCGGCTGGATGCAGTGTGCCGTTTCTGTTTCACTCGTCTGGTTTTACCCAAGAGGGGAACAGTGGCCAACGCTCCAACCCAAGAAGTTTGCGAACGAGCTCTGAAATTCTACCAAGTTGACTTCCATGCAGAGATAGCCAACCTCAGGCTACCCAAGGTGCTCTGTAATGCTTGCCGTACTCGCCTGGCTAAGATGAAGTCTGGTGAAATAAACGTGGACGAATGGAATGCTCAGAAACGCCACTACTATGATGCTCTATTCGTGAACCACGACCCGGTATCAACTCGGCAAACGGCAGTATGCTCCGAGGCCGATCGCTGCAGAGTATGCCTCATTGCTACCGAGCGTGTTCCCAACTTCGTGAAGAAGGCACAATCCAATGCTCCAAAGCCCGGGAGGCCATCGAAAAGATCTCCTATTAGAGGACTCTGCTCGCGATGCGGGGACCCTCTAGACGAGCACGATGACCGCCGTTGTGCAAGCTCAGCGAAGCGTCCACGCAGAGCTGGGGAGAAGTTCGCCGAGAGGGTTTGTGCTAGGGGCCACACTGATAAGCTGGTGGCTCAGAGGCTTGAAGAGCGTTTCAAGGAATCCAGTGCGAGTGGCTCTGAAACTCCTATGCCCTCTGGAGCAAGCCTGGATTCTCACCATTACCTCGGGGTGTCGTCTTTCTCTTATGAAGGAGAGGATGATGCTGTCGAGCTGAGCAGGGAATCAGCACGGGATCTACTGCGTCTGGGACAATTGGGACTCGGAATGCGTAGCGCTAGGGAGCTTTGCAAGATCCTAAGACGAAGTGGGGTGTATTTCCCGGAGGGCGGGTTAAAAAGAGCCTTGGAGGAAAAATGGGAAGTCTTTGGGCCTCTATTTCGGTCTGAAGTTCTTCCGCTACAAGTGGATCGTCGCTCTGAGCCTACATCTACGCCTTTCGCCTTCTGCACCGACATTAATGCTTTGCTCAATATCGTTACTGCTGACGAAGCGAATCGTATCACACGTTTGAAGCTCCAGTTTGATGGGGGACAACAATTTTTGAAGCTTTCTGTCAACATCGTCACTATGAAGGAGGGGTCCCTGTATGTTCCATGTCCTAACAGTGTGCTCAAGAACTTCGTAGTCGGGATGGGTCAAGCAAGCGAGACGCGGCAGAATCTCGAACAGGTGTTTGGCTACTCTTCTGTGAAGGCATTGTTCGACCTGGATATACCGAAGCAGGTGGCTTGTGACCTGAAGGTGTCGGCTATGATGGTGGGCATTCAAATGGCATCATGCAAATATCCGTGCCCCTTTTGCCTATATCGTAAGGGAGACTCTGAGGGATCAGCACCGGCACGAACATGGCAGCAGCACATCAAGGACCTCGAAAGCGAGGCCCATAGTGTTGTGGCGCGTCCTGTGGTTCAATGGGTGAACTCGCCACTCGAGTTCATATCCCTCTCACCACTGCATCTCCTGCTTGGTATCGTGAACAAACTGTACGATAAGGCCCGTCCCGCGGAGACCAGTGGGGCTCCTCACTCTCTCTATCCTCGTCACTGCAGAGCGTTGGTCAAGTACAATATTAGGCGGTCAGTCTACTTCGATGGAGCCTTTGAGGGGAACGGTTGTTCTCGTTTCCTCGACGAGGTGGCGGTTGATCATATCCCTTTCGAGCAGCGAGCAACTCCGTTCGTAATGGCCCTCAAGGCCTTCAAGGTGGTGAAGGACAAATGCCTCGGTCTTGTGAGGAAAGAAGGATGGAGAGAAGCAATTTCATCATTCCAGTCCGCATGGCAAGCGACGGACATGCCATACACTCTCAAAGTACATGTCCTATGCAACCATGTCGAGGAGTACTTTAAATACTTCGAACCTGTTCCAGATGCTGGCCTCGGATTGTCATCCGAACAATCCGGCGAATCACTCCATGCTCGACTACAACGAGTATGGAATCTGAGATTCAAAGTGAACCCGGAAAATGAGGCCTTCTCTGAACGGCTTGTGGATTGCATGGTTTCCTATAACTGGAACCTACAGTGGGACGGGGCTACGAGAGCGCTGACAGAGAAGAAAGACTCGAGCAGCTGTCATGAAACAGCTTCTAGCAGCTCTCCTAGTAGAGGCTCCCGTTCTTCTCAGATCACAGTCGAGTGGGACTCCGCGTCCTCCGTTGAGGACAGTGATGATGCTGATTCTCAGGAATCATCTTCGGTTTCTCTTGATTGATACTTTATCAGACTCTCCCGAACTTTTTTTTACAATCACCACTGACCTAGAGTGTTTGACTAGTAAATATATCAGGCTAAACTCTTCCACGGGCGCGCGCGAAACGCGAAAAACGCATAATCGATTTTTAGGCTATCATACTCGGTAATAAAACAGAAATGATAACAGATTCTGAATCTACGCAAAATTCCCTATCGTTTAGTCATTTCGGTTTTCTCTGTCCATTTTGGACACTATATCACAAAAATCGGTCACCCGTGGCGTCTTATTTTACTCTTCAATTAGTTGTGAATGTTGTTCTGGACTGAGCTTCCAGGCCTCTGGCTTGTTCCTCGGGCCCGTAATATCTCTGGGAGGAACTACGGAGCCCCAAGGGAGCACTTCGCCAGGCTGCAGTACTCTCGTGCTGTGGACCTGCAGAGGTCCCAGGTTCGATCCCGGGCGGCGGCTCTTTCCCACCTACATCAGCAATCATTTTCTTAGGAGTATGCCTAACATCCCGTCGTGTATCAGCCGAGACCTTCCTACTATGCCGGGCCCTCACAATAGAATAGGCAGTGGGACTTGGTCGTGATGGGCAGGCTCGGGGCTGAGACTTGGTCTAGACAGCCGCATTAAGAGCGCTCGATGTGGCTCACCCGAGAGAGGGCAGATCGGGTCGATACCACACCAGAGTGAATCGCTGGCTGATGCATAGAAGCCGCTAGATAACAGCATCGCGACAACATTTGCATGGAGGAGAAACTAACCCGTCAACTAGCGTCACGATGTCACTAACAAACTCAATTCACGAAGAATTAGAAAAAGGAGCGCAAGCCCCAGTGCGGGATGAATAGTAGAGTACGACGAGGTTTGAAGATTTAATCGACGCTATCGCTGGACGGATGCCTCCAAGGCCATGCAAGATTAGTTGAACTGACTTAGTGCATGTGAAGACCTCAAGGAGCCGGTGGTTCATTTAGATCCACACAACTTCCAACATCACGGCATTCAGGTTCAACCGCTTCGGTAGCCTTCGAGAGGTAACAGCGCGGCGCCGGCCAATTGTGTATCTAGATGGGACGAATACAACGTGATGACAACGGCGGTACCCGAGAACCCACAAAAATGCCCTTCCAAGCTCGAACTCCCACGAAGCGCTCGGTCTTTATCCGAGCAAACAACGTGATGAGATACCACACCATCGCCTCTACTACACCTATACGATGCACGATTAACAACAAAGAGGGAATATGATTCCAATGCCGACCTATGATGCCACCCATGAAGACTTGTTCAGCAGTATGATCTCGCAGGATTACTCTAGATAGAGGTACTGGTAGCAGCACCAGCGACCAGAAGGAAATGACTACGGCCAAGTGGTCTGAGTCGAAACGAAGTCATCAGAGTGCGACACGCAGGCAACAACACCACCTTGGGAGATGCTCTGGCTGGTAGCAAGGAAATGACCATCGCGTACGAAGGAGCGGATCTTCTCCAGCCACGACCTGGTCACCTGAAGTCAGTGTTGGAAAATATGCCCATCGTCAACCCCATGTGTCGGTGACAATATCAAAATTCAGGGCAGTTTTCGGGGAAGTTTTGTTGCTTTCTATACATTTCCACCCAATTCCGTTTATAAACTCCTATAATTAGCGAAGAAACCGCTAGGGCCAGCTTAAGGAAGCAAACATATATAACAACACCGCTCGAAACCACATATTGTCGCGACTGAGAGGCTGCGGGAGTCTTACACTGTATCCCTGCTCTGGGCAGTATGCACGATAGATGTGATCAAGCATTATAGTTAGCCATATTCCAACTGCTCTCACTGCATGGCTCGAAGGCATGCCGCATGTGATGTTGCAGCTCCCCACAGGCCGAGGTTGGCGAACCTGCATCACCATCAGTCGACCATCTCATCGCAGATCCGACTCGGTTACAACACGTTTCCAGCCCAGCTCGCTCAAGATGAAAATGACTATGATGAAGAATACAAGACTGTATTCGCGAGACCCTCTTCGCCACCTGAAGAGATCGACTCGGGGACTAGTGAGAACTCGAGTGGAAATATATGCACATGGCCAACTGCATGTGGTTTTGAGGAAATTTGGCAAATTCTTGTTAGTCTCTGTACACTTCTACCCGAATTTGTATATAAACTCCTATAATTCGTGAGGAAACCAAACATATATTCCATCGTTGGTGAGCCCCCCATTTCCTACAACATGATGAGGATCAATAACACTTCCACTACGTATTCCAGGTACCCGTATACGATGGAGATACCCTCGAAAAAATTCGGGTTAAAAGGAGCAGTTATGTCGCCAACAAGATGATGACCTAACACACCCCCATACGATGACCGGAGGAAGAGATCGATCCGTACCGAAGGGGCACACGCTGTCCGAGTTGACATACCAGATGGGGTGACACGCCGATGACATGAGATAAGTGTGATATGGTCTGTAGCAATCACAAGGCTCCGCTGGTGCAGTACAGAGCAACTAGCAATAGGAGTTGTGATGGTAGTACTCTCATTCCACGAAGGGCTTGCGCGTGCGTGCAGAGGCAGTTGCCCAGCGCGATTCGGATCTCCCATGGCCTCACTCACTTACTAGACTACCATCACTACTGATTCAGTACTACCGTGTCACCACTAAGCAGTTGTGAAACGGAGAAAAACACTTTCACCACCGATCAAGTCCCAGTCCAACTACACCTCCCACAGTCTCATCAATTTTTCGCAATTTTTGATACCAACGCAATACCGAAGTAGATCTAATAATCAATATGCAGATTATATCACAAGTAAATCTGCTACAGATTAGCTACCACAGTCGCGGCATATAGCAGGGGAAGATAACTGCAGTGCGGTAGGCTCAAGAGTAGTATTAACTTCTACAATATATCTTTTAAAAGTGTCATAAATACAACGTATACGTCCACTACACTAAACCTGGAATTTTCGATGCTGGACTTGATGGGTCCACTCCAGGATCTCCCGCAGGATCCGGAGGTGCTGCCTGCTGCAGCTGTCGAGGAGTGTGGACGCCCGTGCTTGGTGGCCTCACGTCGGATCCATCAGCAGTGATGTCACTATTTTTCAAGGGGACGAAGCACCGAGGTGCTGGCCAGTTATGAATCTGAGAGAAATCCAATGAGAAAAAAGGACAAGTCGACACAGGAGACTTACAAAGCAGCCCCTCAGCCACCGTCGGCCCGTATAGTTCTCCGTCTTAACACGCAATAAGAGTGTGAGCAGGAACCAAATTATTCCCTCAACTACACCTGATAGGAACCACACTATATGCAAGCTCAAGGTCCCTTCCGTAGATCGAGAAATTGATATAGTTTTCAGTTCCGTAGATTAGTACTAATATGGCGTATAATGGTGGATGAATACCCAATACATGTTGACAACTAGATATTCAGTAATGCTGATATGATAGCCTCGCAAAATAATAAAGAACTATTCCCCTAGTTATGATGACAAAACGCACGCTGGAAGATCCAAATATAATGATGGTATTACCAATGATGCCAGCCACAAAGACTTGCTGGCTCGTATGGTCCTTGAGGATTATCCGAGATAGCGGTACGGGAAGCAGTGCCAGGGACCAGAACCCCGCTGCTGCAACAAAGTGATCTGAATCACCAACATGCCCAAGATGCGCCGCCCAGATATGACCTTCAGAAATGACCGAGGCCGTTGGCAGTAGGTGCCCAGCATGCAGGAAGGCTCTGAATCGATCTACAAACGAGGTGAGGCCACCCTGACAGACCGAGCGAACGTCGCACAGGAGCTGACACGGTCACTACTCACACTATAGCCTTGGGGTGTCTGGCTGACCCTGTAGGAGAAATCGAGTGCAAGTATCGTCCATAGTGCTGTTGTTATAACAGCATGGGAGGATGGCATACCACACGAAGTGCAACACGACCCGACCGGCCTGGCCTGATCCGCCTGTGATACACCACCTACACACTCCAGCGCGTCTCCTATCGAAAACTCTCACAATGTTTTTCCATCCATATTCGTTGCTCGCTACCACAATTATGCCAAATATGATGATACTGTACTCGTGAAGACCTCTGCGCCAACTGAAGGGACAATACAGTACCACTAAATCCGGGTCTAGGAGCTCACATCGTAATAAGGATAAAGAAGATACCAGCCGCATAAGGCACGAAACCGAACATGACCGACAGACCCTCCAGAAAACCTGCGTTGTACGGCAACGTTACGTCCCCTGCTAAATGCGTGCCTAGAAAGCACAAGAGCGTTGGAGCAGGGGAGGAGGAGTGGGAGCACTGCTCACCATAGGGGCACTCACTATTACTGTTGACATACCATTTTGGCAGGCAGACATTTGTCATCGATAAAGTAAAGGCCTTCAAGACAGAGATAGCTCAGCCGGCTAGCCTCTTGCAGTACATTCGAAATAGCCGTAAATTGACATCCCACCTCGTCAGTGTAACGCCAATACAAAATTCCTCTATACAAGGAGAAACTAGTTTACGTCCAGTTAACGTTATGGCCATCATCTGGCTCTGATAATACACGAGGAAGGAAAATCATCACTTGAAGTCCCTCTGAAAGTTGTAGCCGTCGTCATCGCCTTCCATCGCGGTGTCGGAAGCCTGGACACTCCATCACAACTCCAGCACACCCTCCTGAGCTCACCTCCATCTGTTGTGTTCGTTGTCTCCTCTCCTTCTTCCCTTGGTTACGTTTTGCCTCCTTAGTCTTCTTCTTGATATCCCGATTCACACGCGGGTTCAATCCCGTGAATATACGTTTTTCTTTCGTCTTACCAGAAGCCTTCTTCTCCTCAACAGCCTCGTCAATGAGAATCTACCAACAACAACAATACCATTCCCCTTACCCCTAAATCTACTCACCGGCACTTCCTCCTCCTCCTCCTCCTCCTGGTCGTCATCATCAACTTCATCTACCTCCCCTTCCTCGCCGCTTTCCATCTCCATATCAACGCCCATGTCAGCACTCTGAGCCGCGTTATGAGCCGACCCGCTGAACTCCACCCCAGCTGCCGCTTCCGCGTTAGTATCCGCCTGAAACGTCAAATCACCCGTCCTATTGATGAAGTGTGGACTTTTCACCCTTACCTGGCTGAAGAGTGCGTCAATGTCAAACTCGGGGCTGGCAGCAGCGACCACTTTAGCGAAATTCTTGCCCTTATCAGCTGCAGGAGGCATGCAGAAGAATCTGATTAAAAAACAGTAATTCCCTCTACCTCGCGCGCCCTTACCGCAGCCTGCCAGCTGTCCACTCTCTAAGAACGTCCTTGGCTCCCTGCCGGAAGTCCGGCGCGCCCCCACGACGGAGTTTACCCCGACTCCGACACACATGACCAACCAGCTCATTCACCGACTCGAATGCAGGCATCTACCAAAACCATCCGAAAATGCATATGCTGATATAATCACACTCGCGTGATGGGTTACATACCACAACAGTCTCAACCAACGATAGTTAATATGGTATGCCTCCATATCAGCACTACCCCTCCAGGCTCACCTTGAAGTGCTTCAACACGGCGTTGCGCGGTGTACGTTTGACCAACGCCTCAACGACTGGCATCGGGTCCTCGAGGGCGTCCACATTCACCGACTGTCGAATCACCTAAAACAAATCTACATTAGCACCACCGCAGAAGACCTACTCTTCTTACCAAACTAGAAGTGTTGCTAGCCGATTCCTCAGTGCCAGAGAAAATTACACCCGGGCAATCTAGTAAGCTCACCTAAAGGGAAGAAGACTCCTACCAGCAACCATCGTGATCAGGCTCACAGTCTTATCTATCTGGACCTCCTGCATCTGCTTAGTAACCCCAGCACGATTGCCAGTCATAAGGTGCACCCCCTTGCCTCTCTTCATAGAGTTGATAACAGAGGACTTACCAACGTTAGGGTAGCCAACAATACCAACGTTGATGCGACCAGTACCAACACTCCTGATGCAACACATACAATGCCACATGCTGAGGACAACACTACCTTGCATAGTTCTTCAAGAGCTGCAGGAGAGCATCGCTGCCAATGACACCATAGCTAGATTTCAATAGCCCCTCAGAAGCGGTCTCAGCTGCGATAGCCCTGCCAGTTTGACCTGTGTTGAAAACCATAACACACCACTGAGCAGTACCCTCCCCCCTACGGTCCCCAGAGCTCCTAGCGGCCTTGAACGCAATAGTAGGGAAGTCCTTACGAAGGTAAGCCAACCAAGCTTGGACAGCCTCCTTAGGTACGAGATCTAAAACCAACAATAGCCCTACTACTATGCCGATACCACAACGGCTGATTACCAATCTTATTGAGCAAAAGGATGACCTTCTTGCCGTTTGAAAGTATCTCCTCCTCGAGGCTCTTGCATCGGCAACTCAGAGGGTCTCGAGCATCCAAAACCTTCAACACATCACTCGATGCAGACCTCCAAGTCGTCGCACGAGCAGCAGCAGCAGCCTACCTCTACTACGACGTCAGCCATGCCCATAACCTTCCTCAGCTCCCTATAATAGGCCCTCCTAGTGTTCTGTGCCTGCACCACCAAGTCATATCACCTCAGACGACGACGTCTCGCCTTCCCCCTACCTCCTTGGAACCGCTCCCAAGATGAGTCACGCTGTGCATGTCCCTCACAGAAGTAGACGAGCCAATGAGCGCATCAGCCGATCGATCATAAAGCCTAACGAAGAAGACCACACATCACAACCCATACCGTTCCATCCTCCAAAATACCTCGTCCTTCGCTCCGCCTCCGATTTCAACTCCGCCAGGGACTTCACCACCTTGTCCTGATTCTTCCTAGACACCACTGGCTCGACTGGCAAGCCCTACCCCAATGACGGTTCACTCGACAAGCTCATCAGTAACAGTGCCCTACCTTCTTGCGGAGTTCCCTCTCCCGCTTAATATGAGCCTCCTTCTCTTGCTTCCTCTTCTCCATGTCATTCAGCACCTACCCCAACGATTTAACCCGTGTTAAAACATCCCAACCTGACCTACCTCCTGTTTAAAAGGCCAGCTGTTCGGTATCCCCGGATCTCTTCTCTTTTTCGATACCACAACTCCGACTTTCTTTGCCACCCTAGCCTGCTTCTTCACCTTCCGATTATGCTCTTTCACCTATGTCGACGTGGCAAACAACAAAGCACCGACGCAAGTGAGCTCCACCTTTTTCTGGATATTATATTTCCTGTTCAGAGTTTGTCTTCTAGAAGGCTTCTTGATCTTCATAGTGAAGGAGTAGCAGAGGCAACAACAGCACAAGAGAGGCTATTCAAAAAAATATAACGATCAACCCCAACGCGAACCAACTAGCAGTGTACGTGGGAGAAACTTTACTCGATATAAGGACAGTGCCAATATGGCCGATAGAATACGTCTGGCCGGGGATGAGCTCAGATGCTTCTGGTCACCACATTATTTTCTACGAGGCTTCTTCTTATTAGCAGTCTTCCTCTTGCCCTTCTTCTCAGTAGGCTTTGAGATCTTCCGAGGCGCCTCAGCCGCAACAGCCGCACGCTTCTTCTCACGTCTCTGCGGCACGACTCGCAATGCAACAATCCTAGATCCCCGGTTCAATTCCTACCTCCTCCAATTTTCCCACAGGGACTTCCGACAGCTTCATCTTGCCAACGTCTTCTCCCTCTTCCTCCTCCTCCTCTTCAGCCACTTCAAAGCGTACCCGTTTGACGCCCTTCTTTCCAGATTTCTCTTCTGCCACTGGTTTCGACGCCTCAGCCGCCCATACGGGGAGCATGATCGAGTCTGTACTCTGGACGCCGACACTGAGGATCTTACGTTTCACTGACAACATGTCGCTCGACAAGGCCTCAAGGACGACTCTAGCGTTCTCGACGAGATCCCTGAGAAAGATACACTTCCTGCCCGGAATGAAAGATGCAAAACAGGCCCACTCCTTAGCCATGGACGTGTCACCAATACGGACGCTGATGCTAGCTCCGGTACTCTTACGATAACGGGTACCTTAGAAACGAAGAATGAATCACTCGCGGTAACCTGATTAGACTTAATACTGTTGAGCGCCTTCTCAATTTGCTTCGTAGGATCTACGTCGCTAGAAGTAGGCCACTTGACGGGAACCCTAAACACAGCGAGGAGTAACAGCACTAATAGAATTTCCTCGAATTACGGTATCTTTTGCTTTTTGTGATGGAAGAAGTACTTGCCAAGGAGATTAGGGAGCATGTCAGACACGGAGGAATCGCAAAGGAAGACGTCGTGAGCGTTGGCCAAATCCCGAAGGAGCTCAAAACGAGCCGCGTACCTACAGCAAATGCTGAAACATATTTTGGGTTTCCTCAGCTGAGCGCCTCACTACATGATGAAAATTGGCATACGATTTAGGAGAACGGAAAGGTAGAAAAACCAACAAATATTTCCCCAAAATTTCCACAAAACTTTCTTAATGTCCCCAACACACGTAGTTGACCATGTGCATATTTTCCCACACGGAGTGATTCAGATGCGCTCAGTCGAGATATGCACAGATTCGCAAGCCCTCTATTACTTCGATCGTAGAGCCTTGATGGTTACAATCTTGGCGATGGGCAAATTGTATCTGCATAATACCTATAGCGACCTAAGATACGCAAAGATCCTCCATACTTAGCCACCAGCTTCTGAGCGGTTTGCTTAGGATCCCGAGCTATAAGGCAAATGGACAATCCCTCGACGCCGTTCTTGCCGTGAATCGAGTGAGGTACTTGTCTGAAAACGACGACTTCCACAATGGTCCTCTCCTAAGCCTGTATACTACATCAACCGATATTTATTATCAGCTTTTCCCTGTATCTTATCAACATTAATCTGCACAGTGACGGTGTCGCCGGCCTCCTCAGCCAGCAGGTTTTTGGTGGCCTTCTCAGCTGACTTCTTCGCAGAGTACCTGGAGTCGACACAGATGTGATAGAACCAGCATCAAACGTTTTATACAACCTTCTGGGGTCACTAGAAAACAATAAAAATGAACGTCGGAAGAATGTAGACTTTTCACGTGACACATTTCAAACGGTAAGGAAAAAATTTTCACTTTCTAGACCGGTGAAAAACTCGGATTTTTCCACTGAGGATAACAACGAGGCTGTAAACAAATATCCAAGTCCTTTTGTCTTACTTAAGGAGGGCATTGAGTGCCTTGGGCAGCTGAGAGTTGCAGGCCGATAGGGAAGACTTCTCCATGGGTGCCAGAACAATCGATTAGTTGGGCGAGCGCTACTCTCACCACAGGTTCGGTACGAGGTACGAGACGTATATGTCGATTGGAGATGCAGAAGGCATGTGAGATGGTGACTAGCCTGCTGACGGCTACAGCACCGGTACAGCGGTGTCCATATAGCACGATGAACGTAAGATTGAAGCTATGCCTTGCAGTGTCGGAAGACTATGCACATGGTCAACCACATGTGTTGTTGACAAATCGGAAATTCTGAGAAACTTGGGGAAATTCTCATTGGTTTCTGTACACTTCTACCCGAATTCGTATGTTAACTCCTATAATGAGTGAGGAATCTCCTAATGGGGCGTTTCTCAGCTGAGGAAAGCGAACATATATTCCAACACTGGTGCCTAGTGCGAGTCGTAGCCGACCTTAAGATGCAACCGTAGGTGCATCTTTTGAAGTTACTGCAGCGGGAAGGTTTCATAAGGGGTTTCGTAGTGGAGGGAAACCGTATCAATATCCTCCTGAAACGATACCAATGTAGGGTGATGCTAAGAGGCCACGTTCGAAGGAAGCTTGGTCAGTTGCTCCCGTCATACGTAATATTCAAGTAGTGTCGAAGCCCAGCCGAGACATCTGGCTCTTGCCTCACGAGCTGAAGGAGCGGACTGGGTGGGTCAGTGATTGGGGCGTTTTATGGTCATTTGAGTGATACTTAGGATGAACACAGGGACTTGGATAATGCAGACCCCTGAAGGGTTCATGACACATCGAGAGTGCATTGAGTTGGGAGTAGGTGGTAAGGTTATCTTTGCTATCAACAATGGTGCACAGAAATGGTGCTGATTGTGATGGAAGCATGTTTCCGATCGATGCCGACCTGTTTTGTAACTTAGTAACTTTAGTGGGGTATCTCATAGTCCTCTGATGTTGTCGTCCACTTGTGGTTAATCATCATCGCTATGGGGAACACCAACGCTCTTTCTGGTAGAAGCAGCGAAAATGTCCCTGCCGAGGATGGAACCTGGGTCGTTTACGTGCGAGGTATGAATGGCTACACACTCACGTATAGCGTGAATCTACATAACGATGCCGTGACAGATCTCATGGAGGAGATACGCAGGGAGATTAGGAGATTGCAGGAACTTCGAACGATTTTCGACGATTCACATTCAGGCCGGAATCGATGTGAAATGTTTCATTTTTTCTCGGTGCAAAATGTTAGCAGTATTAATGGTCGTGAAGCTGTCAAAGTTCACGACAGGTCTACATCGGCGCGCCAAAACATATGCGTACCCTCTCGAATTCCCTTCGTGGTCCTATTGAGGATTGACGAGCCCGGTCTTGCTTTGTTCGTGCGTGCAGTCCTGTGTACGTGCGTGCCCCGCAATTGATGGTGTTTTTTCCCTGAGCCATTATATTAAATGACATTGATACGCTCAATCTCAGTTTCACAACCGTAAACTTGTCTACTCGTTGTTAATATGGCGACACCTGAGGAGCTCGCTGAGCTCTCTGAAGCCCGTAGAGAGTTGGCCGCTACGCGCCGTTCCCTCCGGGATACTCGCGAGGCTCTCAACAACATCATCTCCGACGAGAAGGATGATACTCAGCAGCTTATGAGCGACCTCGCGTCCAAGGAGGCCAGTAATCTTTCTAAGATAGGTAGCCTCGAGGCCCGTATTGCTGAACTTGAGGCCCTGGCTGACCGATCCGTCAGCGAGATATCACGGAAGGAAGGTTTCAGTCGACTCTCTCCACGGTCCGAGGAGGAGGAGCATGAGGTGTATACCACTCCGAAGTCACGCTCCTCACGATGCCCGGCAGCGACAGTGACTAAGTTATGTCTGCCTCAACTCTGTGAAGCAACAGATCTCCAATCGCACTATCATGCTATTGAACACACCTTCGTTGAAGCAGGAGCCGCTGAGTATCACCAGCAAGGACATTTGCTAGTGCACGAGGAGGTCAAAGTATCTGTCATGACCAAATTCCTTTCCTCTCTGAGTAATGTCCGACCGGTCCATAAGAAGGCCACTGTAGCGTCACGTACCCACTCACAGGATTGGAATTTGGTCCGCAATGTCCTTCTGACGAGGTATTGCCGCAGATCAGTGTTGAAGGAGACCTACGAGGAGAAGTTACGCAATCTCACATTTACAGGGGTTAAGCAGATCGAGGATTTCCTGGAGTCCGCCGCCGATATCTACCATCTATTCACAGATGTCTACCCGAACGACGTGTCGGAGCGACGTTCATTGACAAGACAAGTTCTGGCGAAGTTCCCACAGCATATCATTGAGAAGGTTATGGAGAGAATTTGCCAGCTGTCGGGGTTAGCCTCTGTCGATGAGGACTGGGAGACGGCGGTGCCATTCGATGAGGCATCAGACGGAGTGCGAAGTGTTTGTGAGGCAATCCGATGGGTATGCCGAACAAAGGACCAAGCCTCAATAATGAAACCGACGAAAGGGGTCGATAGTGTTCACGCCGCCATGTACGACGACACCTGCGAAGAGAGTTTATCCTCGAAGCCGGCAAGCAAACAGGATTCTGCTGCCTCAGTGGATAAGGTTAACTCCGGATCGGGATCTCGCTCAGTAACCCCCAAGCAGTGGTGTGAACGATATAAGCCTGACCAATTGATCAAGGTCATTGGACTGTGGGGTGACGATCTGCAGAAGGCCATTCCTGAAATGGAGAGCAACTTCCCTTTGAAGGGAAAAGGACGTCGTAATCCGTTCTTCCGAATAGTTGCTCTCAAGGCTGGCACTGATAGGGATGCCGTTATCTCTCGACTGACGAAGAACAGCATCCGTTCTGACCGGTTTGCCCCTTTCTCATGAGTCCTGAGCAGGACTTGAAACTGCTTCCTATCACTCGTGATAGGGCTTCGGTACCATCTGCTTACTGGTTATGTTGTCGTCTTGCTACTACCCCCACTTGTATGAGTTGGATAGATGCCCGGTTATTATTAGACACCGGGGCTGGTCTTGATTTTTTATTGTACGATGACTCTTTCCCTTTAAAATCATTCCCAATTGAGACGTGTAGTTTCCAAGTGAAGCTTGCTGACTCGTCCAGTCGAAAAGTGAGTCGCAAAGTGAAGTTCCCAATGCAGCTCCGGGAACAGCAGGGATGGGGAACTACTCGTGACAGATATTTGTACCTGCTACCTCAAGTATCACGGGGCCCCTTATCTGATTGCCCAGTGATTATCGCGGGTCGAGTCTTTTTGCGTGATTATAAAATATCGATTGACTCAGGCGAGAGCCGAGTGACGCTCGCTGGTAATGATCTGCCCCTTGTCCGATTCCCGCAAGAATCGGTGCCTACCGTTGCTCGATGCTCAGTGACCGAAGAGTCTAATATATGTATTCTTGATCCCAGTCTAGGGGATGGGAAATGGGACGACGAAGCTGCTGGCTGCCTGCTGACGACTATGATTGAGGGCCGACAGGATGCAGACACATCCTATGAACGACTTCCCCTCCCGCCCTCATCATCTGAGGAGATGGACATTCCTTTCGACACGGTACCACCAATCTCAACTGACCTGCTTGACCGATTGGTCAGCCAAGGGTGGTGGCCAATGCGGAAGTGTCAACACTGGTTTGCTCGTCTACGGAAGCTCCGTGCTGATGAAATACGTGACGACTCCCGACAGACTCACGTGTTTGAGCTTAGATGTGATTCCTTGGGCGAGGCGAGTCATGTACAAATTCCAACGGCTGTCCGTCGAATTGCGGAACGCGCATACGAACGATTAACCCTCGAGAAGCAGAAGACCTTTGACGAGCTAGTCCGAGGATATGAAGAGAGAGGATGGTGGATAAAGAGATCTGAGGAAGAGATTCACACACTCTCCAAGACCACCCACATTCTCCCTCCATCGGTTGTATTCATGATCCCAGGAGCTCTCAAGCGACGAGATAGACTTGTCGTCGATCTGCGACGGGCCAATCGTCGTTTCACAAGAGGGTCCAGTTCCTCGGTCACGGTTTCTATCTGCATAGCGGTGACTCGTCTGTATGGATCGGGAGTCATGTGGGTCATGGATTGTTCACGCGCGTTCTATAAATTGCGCTGGTTGGGCCTACTTGCCTTGTTGGTGGTACGTTCATCGCTGTACACGAGCAACCGCTGTGTCTTCGGCGTCACCACTGGTCCTGGAAGTTTGGGGCATACTCTGGGAGACCTGATAGCAGCATTCAGAGCTCTCTGTGCAATGTTGCTTCTTTGTTTCCTATTACTCTGCTTCGTTGATGACATTCTATGTGCGGGAGTGGACGGTGCTTCAGCAGTATGTTGGTTGATATATACACTACAGAGATGCGCCTTCGGGGTATCTCGGAAGAAATTCCAAGCGATCGCCATCAGGTCATCAAGGAGTCATGTTGCCGATATCCTAGAGCGGATGAACCTACCGACTTCCCTCTTCGTATGGTCGGATTCCGCCGACTTACTGGGATGCACAATGACTTACGATGAGAGTGGACCGACGCCTCTTCTTCGCGTCGATTGCAACCGAGGTGATCGGCTCCAGTTGGCTCGGCAGCAGGCCACATCAGTGTTACAAGTGTTGGATGGTAACGTCACGACGACGGTGACTAAGGCTTTTATCTTCTCTCTCGGCGGGAACCTAGCATATGACTGTGCTGGTTGCCACCCAATCGACCGGGTGCTAGCGGATACTATCCGAAGCTGGTTTGCCCACACCTTTGCGAAGGTCGATTGGAGAAGCTCGTGCGATTTTTCCAAACTATCTGATCTACAGAGGTCTGTTGCTCGGTCGCTGATGAACTGGATTTTAGAGAGAACGGCGACGATCACTCCGTGCTTACATGACACTCCACTTCGAGAAAGCGCTGATCCTTTACATATCGAAGTCGCGGCCGATGCCTCTAACATTGGAGCAGGGTACACTGTATCGATAGTGCACCCAAATGGTGATAGTGGAGCCACTCGATATCTTCTTGCATCTGGGGCTTGGAGATTCACTCTCGCTCAGCAACATTATCATTCAAATCGCCGTGAATTATCCGTTTGTTGTCGAGCGGTGCAGTGCGCTATTGATATTGTGGCTCACTTAGCGACGACACTGTCAGGAACCTTACCTTCGATTACCTTGACCGTAAGATCGGATAATAAACCGACGGTGCAGTGGATCAACGGTCATGGGGGTGTGTCTAGATCATCACTAGAGCGGAGGGCAGTGTTGCGAACCCTCAACGCCCTCCGGGATGAGCTCGACTACCTGAAGACCTTGGGGGCCGGAACAGTGGTGGTGAAACACATCGAGGGTAAGTCGAACACCATGCCGGATATGCTCTCGCGACTCTTCGAGAGAGAGGTCCACCTAGAATCAGGCCAACGGATGAAGCTGGTCGATGCTCTCCATGGTGGTCCTGGTAACACTGGTGACTTCCCCGAGATCTTCTCAGAGCCGGAAGCTGAAGGAGTAGGCCTGTCTTGGATCATGAGATCTGAGGGGGCGGAGCTGATGGATGAAGATGCTCATGATGTGGACATTTACACTCTTTTGAGTGCTATGCCTTCTACAGAGAGTTTCCTTGCCTGTTGTGCAGCCGATTCCGCTGCCGATGAACAACAGCCGAAGCCATTTATCGAGACTCTATGTGGTTGCAATTGGGATGTGAATGGCGTCCTTACCGATTTCCTCTTCCTGCACAGAGTTTTCAATGCTCTGAGGCCGTCTGCGAAGAGAGTTGAGGATGTCCGACTCGAGGCCGATAATGTCAACTACCTTGTGAGATCTCTGCAGCAGCAGATGAAGCCTCCTTTTCTGTCGTGTGCCGGCCCGTACGTACACGATGAGACCGCAGGGGTGTATTGTTTCCGAAACGGCTCTGCAGACGGTGGTTGTACCTACTTGCCTGTTATCCCGAAGGATGAGTGTTGTCGTGCGTTTCGAGCAAAGATCTGTCTCGACTCGCACCGGCTGAGCAAACACGGAAATGTCCGCTCGACTGTGGCATCTGTGTATGATCGGTTCTACTTGCCTCGCCTACGTATGGATGTTCGCGCCTTGGTAAAGCACTGTTTCGTTTGTCAGCTCATCCGAGCTCGTCGTACGTGGACTCAGCCACCGGGTGCTGGACCTCATCGCACCCAAGCCACAGCGTGGGAACCGTACCACGATGTGTTCGTCGACGTCCTGAGCCTTGGAGATATCAAAGGTTGGTCCGGGACGACCAAGGTGCTTACCGTCTACTGTCTCCATACCTTCCACTCCACTTGGGTTCCGACTGGCGAGACCACGATAGACGTCTTGAATTCTCTCGTCCGAGTGCAGACTGAACAAGGCGGGTTGAGAAGATTGTGGTGTGATAATGCTGCTTACTTCCGCAGTGCACGTTTCCCCAAAGAGGTTTCTCGCCTGTTGAATGGGACGGTTTCATTGCTGCCAGTGCGATCTCCATGGCGTAGTGGTGGCGGTGAACGTGCTCATGGTATTGGCATAAAGATCGCAAAGACGCTTCTGAGGAGCCAAGCGGGATTTGTGGGACGACGACGTCCGCGACGCAAGGACGATGTCGATTTGGAGAGTATCTGCAGGGAGGTAACGTTCCTGATGAATACTCGTCCGTTGGATTATGCTAACTCTGACGAGCCATCTGGCGAGTTTGTCGTGGTTACGCCTGATCAATTGGCTCGTGGATTTACTCGTAAGCGAGGTTGCGTCCTCGCTGGTGGCTCTTCTACTCTTCCTATTTCTCACCGCGTTAGAGCAGTGCGGTGTTATTTCCTGAATGAGATGTTCCGCGACATGAGGATGGCTGTCGCTCGCTCTATGGGGTACCAGAGCTTGAAGAACAAGATCCTGAAGCCTACGATTGGTGACCCAGTGCTGATCTACCATCCGGAAAAGAAGCTGAGCCCCGGATACCGTTTGGGTCATGTGAAGGATCTGCTAGATGAAGGTAGAAGGATCCGTATTGTCTTAACTGACGGTAGCGTTGTTGATCATCATCACTATAATGTTGTGCCGATTCTGCATCACCCTCAATTGTCGGGGCAGAGGGGGCGTATTGAGGATTGACGAGCCCGGTCTTGCTTTGTTCGTGCGTGCAGTCCTGTGTACGTGCGTGCCCCGCAATTGATGGTGTTTTTTCCCTGAGCCATTATATTAAATGACATTGATACGCTCAATCTCAGTTTCACAACCGTAAACTTGTCTACTCGTTGTTAATATCCGTCTTGTTCTGATATCGCTAGTGCTGTATAACTCCCTGAGGAAGTCGCCCTCCGCACGGGGTGTGCAAGAGGTTCGCTGCGAGAACTACCCACAAAACACCAAAAGTAACACGCAGCCAAACCGAATCCGACTCGACCACTGAAAATGTGCTTGCGTTGACACTGTCATATCTCCTCTTACAGACGCCGGCACTCTTATAATGCATGGAAATGGTTACCCGTCACTTAACGCAAGTTGATCACTAACAGAATCATATATCACGATAATTGAGTTCGGTCCAGTATTTCTACACGTACATCATGGTACTGCCTCGATTCGGTCTAGAGGATGATACTCGTCCGGTACGATATGGCAATCACATTACCCCTGCAGGTCTGCAATCTCGTGCCGACTCGATTCAGTTCGTGCCTGAGCGCTCTCGTTTTTTTGGAGATCTGCCCCGAACTAATCTATGGTGAACGCAACAACATATAATCACGTATTGAGAAAGTCAATCGTTGTAGATAGTCGATTTAGAGGTTTATCAGTCGGATTATCTGATCAGATCGAATAAGCTGGTGACGTCAGCTTATCAGTGGTAGGCGGTTCTACCCTTTGACTTCCACAGCCGCACTGAAGGACATTAAGATGGCGGCTCTCGAACGAACAGAATCAAGACAACAAAAATGAATAATCTATCGAGAAAATTGCAATGCCGGCTTGTATCACATCTCATCCAACTCGATGTTTCATCAGTACGACGGATCAAATCAGCCTGATATTAGTTGTGCTGATCAACACTGCCGATCAAACGTTGTTGTGGTGAATCATCGCGCCTGACGCCGCTCCCTTTGTTGCTTATTTTGAAAACAAGCTTTTGATTTTAGCTT